TGGCCGAGCGTGACAAAATCAAAACTGCGTTTTGCACACCGTTTGGTTTATTCGAGTTCAACAGGATGCCATTCGGTTTATGTAATGCACCTAGCACCTTCCAAAGGCTAATGGAGAGAATGTTTGGATCCCAGCACTGCCAATCCCTGCTTTTATACCTTGACGATGTTGTTGTTTATTCCTCCTCCGTAGATGACCACCTCCAGCGTCTGGGTGCTGTCTTGAGCCGGCTGCAACAAGAAGGCCTCAAGGTAAAGCTTTCAAAATGTGAATTCTTCAAAAGGGAAGTGAAGTACCTTGGCCATGTGATTTCTGCTGATGGAGTGTCCACAGACCCCGATAAAATTACCGCCGTAGCTGGCTGGCCTCGTCCTAATACTACAACGGAATTGAGATCTTTTTTAGGCTTTGCCAGCTACTATCGGCGGTTCGTCAACGGCTTTGCGAAGATGGCAGGCCCCCTCCACCAGCTGATTGGAGAGGTGCAGAGAGCACAAGGGCGATCAAAGAGGCAATTTCTGGCAGCCAGCTGGACAGGTGAATGCGAAAAGAGCTTCAATGAAGTGAAAGCTACCTTGGTGAGCGCGCCTGTTCTTGCTTATGCAAACTTCTCCCTGCCATTTATTTTGGAAGTTGATGCTAGCTTCAATGGACTCGGAGCTGTCCTCTCACAAGAGCATGAGGGGAAAGTGCGGCCAATAGCGTATGCCAGCCGAGGCCTCAGACCAACGGAGAAAAATATGTCAAATTATAGCTCCATGAAATTAGAGTTTTTGGCATTAAAATGGGCAATGACGGAGAAATTTCGTGACTACCTTCTTGGCCAAAGATGCACAGTATGGACAGACAATAACCCTCTTAGTCACTTGGAAACGGCAAAACTGGGGGCAACAGAACAGAGGTGGGCAGCCCAACTAGCGTCGTTTGACTTTACCATACGTTACAGGTCAGGCCGAACAAATGGTAATGCTGATGCCCTGTCGAGGTGGCCAGCATCAGAGACATTGGAGCAATGCCTGCCTGGTACCGCCATTCCACCAACGCTTCAGAGACCTGTACCTCACTCTGTTCTCCAGGTAACTCAAGCCGCCATCACTGCCTTTCCATCCCATTCAGCAGAGGAGCTGATGGCCCTACAACAAGCTGACGAAGTACTAGGGACGTTTTTGCCATTCTGGCGTAACCAAAGGCGCCCAGACAGGGCCGACAGAGCTAACCTCTCCCCTCAGGTGCTGGAGCTGTGTCGGCAGTGGGACCGGCTACAGGAGATGAACGGGGTGCTGTATCGCCACACACAGAGGTCTGATGGAGGCGAGGACCTGTATCAGCTGCTTCTACCAGCCTGTCTGAAAGATGAGGTACTTCAGCAGCTGCACCATGGACATGGCCATCAAGGCCTGGAAAGAACTACAGAGTTAGTAAGACAGAGATGCTACTGGCCCCTTATGCACAAGGACATTAAGGACTGGGGCCAAAGCTGTGAACGCTGTACTCTTGCCAAGGCCTCAGTGCCTCGCACTAAAGTTGCCATGGGTCATCTGCTAGCGTCCAGACCCAATGAAGTGTTAGCAATTGACTTTACCTTACTCGAACCTTCACAAGACGGTACAGAGAATGTGCTTGTAATGACGGATGTGTTTTCTAAGTTCACACAGGCTGTTGCTACGAAGGACCAGCGAGCTTCGACGGTGGCTCACATCTTGGTGCAGGAGTGGTTTTACAAGTTCGGCGTCCCGGCAAGGCTGCATTCGGATCAGGGCAGGAACTTCGAAAGCGCTCTCATCCGCCAGCTCTGTACCATCTATGGCACCCAAAAGTCGCGTACAACACCCTATCACCCTGAAGGAAATGGTCAATGTGAACGCTTTAACAGGACGCTCCACGACCTGCTAAGAACTCTGCCCCTGGAGAAGAAACAGAACTGGTCTAAATACCTCCCACACGTTACATTCGCCTATAACACTACCATCCATCAGTCCACCGGTGAGTCTCCACATCTCCTTATGTTTGGGCAGGAACCATATCTTCCCATCGACTTCATCCTTGGCCGTGTTCCAGAGGCCAGTGAGGGTAGAGTGGAGGACTGGATTCAGGAGCACCGGAAGAGACTACAGGTAGCGTTTGATGGGGCACAACAACGGCTAAAAGTATCAGCGGCCCGCCGGAAGGAGCGGCATGATGCTGGGGTAAGATCAACCGATCTACAAGAGCAACAGTTTGTATACCTCAAGGACCACAGCAGACGGGGCCGCTCGAAGATCCAGGACGTGTGGGGCCCAGAAATCCATGTGGTGGTGCAAGCACCAAGTTCTGGGGGACCAGTCTACTCGGTGGCCCCCATGGGAGACCCTCTGAGGGTAAGAACCGTTCATCATCGTGGCATGTTAAAACCTGTGCCCGACCCCCTCTGCCCTCGGAGCCCAAACAGGCAGTCTCCCGAGGTCCAGATGGAGATGGAGATGGAGGAGGATGAGGAGGAAGAGGGTAATTTCTACGTGGTCACCAGGCCAGCCCTTGGAGAGGCAATCACTTCCACTGTGCCCTCACAAGCAGGTACCCCCCCCCTCCAGCCTAATCATCCGCCTGTCTCCGAACCCTCAGGAGGTTCCTTAAGGCAGCCTCCGCATCAGTTCCCAGAAGGCCCCAGGAGGACAACCCGGGCCACAGCGGGTCGGCACCCGAACCGGCACCATCTCCCTACCACAGCATCTCTTAGGTCAGGTGGGGCTGCTACCTCCCGGGTCAGTAGTGCCAGTAGTATGGTGAGCGCTTATTTTAGGCCCTGGGACTAGCCATGGTATCACCGGGACGGCGATGACAAACTGGGGGCAGATTGTAGCGGGCAGTAGGGGGCTCCCTTTCCTAAATGAGGAGTTGCCGCTTCCTGCCTAATAGAGGAAGTGGCCTCCCCTTTAAATATTCCCCCGTGCCTGGTGCTCAGTCTCGACTGCTGCTGGCTGGTGACAGGTGTGTTTTACCCTCCCTCGCTTTTAGCATTTTTAATCTGTTCTTAATTTACTTCTCTGGTTTTAGAGCTTTTTTGTAGGACTCCGGTGGTGGCTATTTTCCCCCCGTTTTATCGCAATTTTAAGGTGGGACAAGCGTTTTAGCACTTTGTTTACATTTTATTGCATTTGAGTTTAACGTTTGTTTCCATTTTAATTGCAGATTTTAGCCTGCTACTGTTTTGTTTAGAGTTCGTTTTTGGGTTTCCTTTTTGAGTTGTATCATTTTTGTAGCTTTTAGAAACCCTTTTAGCTCTGCACCAGTCCTGTATAGCAGTCCCTGGGTCTTTTAGCCTTTTAGATTTAGTTTCCCTTGGATGTGCTTGGGCGGGGGATTTGGCCCATTTTTCTGTTTGCACTTGGTATTTTTGTTATTTAGTGCGTTTGTGGGTAGCACTTTCTGTTTTGTTTGGGGTGGGGCTACCCCCTCTCAAGCCATCCTTGTTTGGTTTCTGTTTAAGACTTGTCTGCTTTCAGATTTCGTTTGGCTCTGGCCCAGGGGCTGCCAGATTTTAATTGAACTTTACTTTTATCATATTGGCCATTTTAACCTGAATGTTACTTTTTATAAATAAATATCATCCTTTTTAAACCCAATTCTGTTATAAATAAACTTTTAATTGCATATTTTAAAAGCACTGTCTCTGCCTGTCTTTTACAAAACTTACCTGTGTGTGTCCTTTGGTTTTATTAATACTTTAGTTATTTTATTGGTTATTTTTAAGTACCTCGGGTCACATCATCATGAACGTACCATGATCTGTGATCTATTCGAAATGTGCGTGTTTCCAGAGTGTTCGAGTTTTTCTGATGCGCAAATTTAAATTTAGAAACATGATGCTCAATGAAAACGCAGCTTATAATGTTGCCAGAGTGGAACATGTTTATTGTTGTCCAAACCTTGCATTTCATGTGTGTTTTGGCGTGTTGTGACGAATGGTGAAATGAGCGTAAACATTTACACCACCTCCTTTGTACGCTCACGTCCAGATTGATAAATGCCGAAAAGTGTAAATTTCTTGCGTCATCTAATTTACACCTGGATTTGGCCGTACGCAAGTTTCATAAATGAGGCCCAATGTGGGCAAAAGACGTACAGTTCTTCATATTAATAATGTTTAGCAGTAACACATATATAAAAGGGGTCCACAGTAAAAAATATGCAGGTCAGCTTCTACAAGACCAGAGACCGAGATCAAACCGAGATCAGACCCAGATCAGAGAGACCAGGCCCCAAAGATCTGCAGAGCTCAGGTCAAAGCTCGTACAATTAATTATTGACAGAAATGAAAGTAAAACGTTCAAGTAACAGTTTTTATCTCCTTTTATGAGGAATGTAAAGATATGACAGTAGCCGCAGAGATATGCAACATTATGAACACACTTTCAGTTTCCTTATGTGTAAAACAATGGTCTTAGATTAAAGAAAAGTAATTTGTTAAATTTCAAGGTTCTTTATGTTGGATTTTTTGTTTTTTTTGTCAGCTTTTGTTTGATTAATAGATTTACTAAGTCAGTAATGACCAAAAAGAAAAGTAGTAAAAACACAGTAGTAAAATGAGTCCTGGTGCAGACGACCCTGGTCTCTCTCTCTGGTCTCTCTCTGGTCTCTCTCTCTCTCTGGTCTCTCTCTCTCTGGTCTCTCTCTCTCTGGTCTCTCTCTCTCTCTCTCTCTCTCTGGTCTCTCTCTCTCTCTGGTCTCTCTCTCTCTCTGGTCTCTCTCTCTCTCTGGTCTCTCTCTCTCTCTGGTCTCTCTCTCTCTCTGGTCTCTCTCTCTGGTCTCTCTCTGGTTCCTCTCTGGTTCCAGTCCTGGTGCAGACGACATTGAAATCACAGAAGGATCATCTGAGCTGTGAAGGAAACACAAAGAACAGATCACACCAGATTTGAGGAAAGGACTCTGTGCCTTTAACAATAGAAGTGTTCTCCAAAGAGTCTAGAATCTTCAGGATCTAAACTCTTCAGTGAGTAAGGTAAACACGCAAAGTGTTCCAAAAATTCTCTCAATCCAATGGTTTCTCAAATCTTGAGACCAGAGGGAGACCAGAGGGAGACCAGAGAGAAAGACAAAAGAGAGACAAGACACATATTAGGAAAAATAGACTTTTTAAGTTGGTCTCAATGTTCCAACATCATCGTTATCAGATAAGATAAGATCTCACATAGGAGATATGTACATGTCACATCTGGCATGGATAGAAATGTGCAAACATGTTAAATTCAGGATATATTATGTACAATAGAAAGTGGCAATTAAAAAGTGGCAATCAAAGAAACTGTGGCAATAGTAGTCTTATTTCAAATTCAATATAAAGAACACTGAACTTTAACAGTCACAGAGCTGGAGTTGGTTTTAGATCCATCCATGCCGGTGTAATCGGGTCACAAGGGGATGGCGTGTGTGCTATTTTTGTTGGTTTGCTGTGTTTGTTTTCCCATGTTTTTGAGTTACGCCCCCTCGTTGGTTACTATGGTGACCCCCCCCCCGCCCATCTGTCTGCAACGCACCAATCCACCACCTATGCAATCAACACACCTGTTGTTCAGCGGGAAAGAGGACAACAAGAGGAGAGTCGACGCAGTTGAGACGGCAGGCAGAGGAGAGAGCACCGTGTGAGGAAGGACAACAGCGCGCACCCACCCCCCCAGCCAGACAACACGGAATATACGTAGAGGCAGGGCAATCAGACCCTGCCTTGCCAGTGAGTACTGCTCTATCTATGTGTGTGGTGCATGGTGCATCAGAAGCTTTGGGCTGAAGTGTTTGGAGTATCGTGTGTGGCTGGCCTGTGTGTGCTGTGTGTCAGGGCTTGAGATCTGCGCTGGACGGAAGGAACAAGCGCGGTTTGGGGGAAAGCTGAGAGGCCAAATCGAGCAGTGGGAGAGCGAGGAGCTCTCCCTGTCAGTGAGTACCGCCAAACGCAGCACTCCGCTATACGGAGTGGCCTTGGGCCTTAGCGGTTGGGTGTAGTGGACTTGTGTGCTGGCCTTTGCCTTTTGCCCAGGTGCGCCATCCGTGGGGCAGTGCAGGACCCGGACGATCTTCCCCTCCCCCCCCCCCAGCGACTCCTGCTGCGGGATTCGGGCCTCCTCCTCGTTGTGCCTCGTTTTAACTAACTTTACCATTTCTTAACCTTTTTAAATAGCATTTTAAAGCTTGTTTTTAGTTTTGTAATAAACCTGGTTTTAACTGTACATCTGTTTCATCGTTATTGGCCACACCAGCCTGCTCTCAGTTTAGTTTTCAGTTTATTTATTCGGCACCATTTTAATTTACCACTTTTTAGTCTGTTTACACACAAACCCCCCATTACATATTTTGGCGTTGCTGTGGCAGGATTCATTTCTCTGAGAGCTGGTGTGTCCAATAAGGATTTAATATGATGATGCCCGTGTACCCTGGGGCGCCTTGGCTTCCGAAATTTAAAGGGCCAGATGGCGACGTAAAATACTGTGATTGGAAAGAACAAATTAAAGGGCTTTTGGGCTCTCAGGATTTAACAGAGGCAAGGAAAGTAACTATTGTGTTGGGAGCGCTAACGGGAGAGGCAAAGCGACAAATTAGTTTTGGATACAGATGAAAAAGATCAGACTGCTAAAATTTTTGTATACCTGGATTCACTTTATGGTGACCAGACCCCTGTACCAATTTTAAGGTCCAAATTTTTTAGCTGTTCACAAGGAGCTGATGAGCATGTGCAATCCTTTATATTAAGGCTACGTGAATTATGTAGTAGGTTGCGACATCAAGACCTAGAGAGCGCCCCCTCCGACGGTGCCTTGCGAGACCAATTGCTGCTTGGACTCCGAGATGGTCCCCTCGCCCAAGCTCTTAAAGTCTACGCTCGCCGCAACCCCGACCTGGATTTTGCTGACCTGCGCCAGGAAGCCCTGCTGCTAGACTCCGACTATGGCCACCCACGACCAGAGGTAACGTGTTCAGCAATTAATAAACAATATGGCTCCCCTAGACCCCCACAGGATATTGACTGGAAGGAACAACTCAAGCGAGAGATCATGGACGATGTCCAGGCCCAGATGAAGGGGCTTACGAAAGATATTGTGGCGGAGCTTAAACCACTACTGCAGTCAGCCTCCCCACAACCTAGTTCTCCAAATCCAACTTGGAACCGGCCGTACTCACCCAGACCCTACAATGATCGGGACGAACAGGGTAGACCTATTTGTCACCGCTGCAGAAAAGCAGGTCACATAGCACGATACTGTAGAGGTGCAGCTACACCCGAACCAGCTTTAAACTAATTACCCCTGCTGCTGAGGTCCGAGTAGCAGGGCTTGCGAACATGTCACAACCAACAAGGGCCGCCGAAACATTTGTTGGCCAATAGAAATAGCCATTGAAGGGGTTCAATTGAATGGGCTCTTGGACACAGGGTCTCAGGTTACATTGATGGCAGAGAGTGTGTTTAAGGCACATTTTACACAAGCTAAACTTGGCAGGGCGCCTACCTTGTTCCGACTAAGGGCCGCCAACGGTCTAGAGATACCCTATATTGGTTATGCCGTATTAGACCTTGAGGTTGAGGGTATTGGGGTCCCAGAACGAGGGGTAGTCATTGTTGAAGATGAGAAGTGTACACACCCTTTAATAATTGGTATGAATGTAATTATGGCTTGTTGGGACACTGTTTAAATGTTCTAGGGAGTCTGCTCTCCCCCGGGCCTTCAACAAGCAAAGAGCCTGGAGGGATGCCTTTGCCACCTGTCGCCACATTGAGGTTGCCCCTGCTGTTGATGGACTTATAGGGCATGTGAGGTTGGCTTCTAAACGTAACGTTACAGTCCCTCCCAAGAGTGAGTTACTGGTATGGGGCCGTGCAAAAATGGGTCCTGGGGGGGCAGACTACTGTGCCCTCGTAGAAGCTATGCCAGGTGTCTGTGTCGGTGACGTGGGTGTTGCAAAGGCCCTGGTTGAGGTAAAAAAGGGTAGAATTCCTGTGCGCGTTTGTAATCCGCATCCATACAGTGTTTCCATAGGTCGATTTAAAAAATTGGGGCGGCTTTACTATATCGACGATTCGGACGTGCATGGTACTAATGACCTTGCCCTGACTGTGGAAGAGGACGGAGTTGTTCAAGTGGCTTTGGTGAATGCTAACGTTGAGCCCTTAAGCTCCGAACTACCTGCAGAGAAGAGCATACTGGGGGACCGGCCCGATTTGTCTGCACAACAGCAGGGGGAGCTCCACGCCCTACTACAGAAGTGGGAGAGTGTTTTCGCGCAGCACAAAGAGGATTTTGGGCGGACAAACATAGTGCAGCATAGAATCCCGACAGGGGATGCTGCCCCCACTCGAGAGGTATCGGCCGATTCCACCCATGCTGTACAAGGAGATGAAGACCCTCCTCGCAGGTATGCTCGAACAGGGGGTTATACGGGAGAGCTGTAGCCCCTGGGCCGCCCCTATAGTCCTCGTGCGCAAAAAAGATGGCAGCTGGCGTTTCTGCGTAGACTATAGGAAATTGAATGCCGTAACACATAAAGATGCATTTCCGTTGCCCCGCATTGAAGAGACCCTGACCAGTCTAAGCCAGTCAGAATGGTTTTCGACCCTGGACCTTGCCAGTGGTTACTGGCAGGTCGATATGCACCCTGATGATAAAGAAAAAACAGCTTTTACCACGCCGCTCGGTCTATACAAATTTGAGCGTATGCCGTTCGGGCTTTGTAATGCACCAGCAACATTCCAGCGATTGATGCAGCAATGCCTTAATGGACAGATAGCAGAGTCACTGCTAGTGTACTTGGATGACGTCATTATATACTCTGACTTTTCCTCCCATCTCCAGCATCTGGATCAGGTGTTTGAGCGACTGTGGCGCCATGGCCTGAAACTACGCCCAGACAAATGCAGACTCCTACAGCGAGAAGTGACCTTCCTGGGGCATGTGGTAGATCAGCAAGGTGTGAGACCAGATCCAGGGAAGGTCCAAGCGGTCTTGGATTGGCCTGTCCCAACCACTATCAAACAGGTTAGAGCGTTCCTTGGACTAGCGGGGTACTACCGGCGTTTTGTTGTAGGTTTTGCTAAGGTGGCACGCCCCTTGAATAGACTTTTAACTGGCATCCCTGCTGATAAGCGGTCACAATCTAAAAAAGTGACTTGGACTACTGAGTGCCAGTCTTCATTTGACTCTTTAAAAGCTGCACTTACTCAGGCTCCTGTTCTTGCCTACGCCCATTACGATAAGCCTTTCATTGTGTATACAGACGCGAGTAATCAGGGGCTTGGTGCTGTGTTATCGCAAGTTCAGGATGGCCACGAACGGGTAATAGCCTACGCGAGTAGAAGCCTCCATCCAACCGAACAAAATGATGCCAACTACAGCTCTTTTAAACTTGAACTGTTGGCCCTTAAATGGGCTGTGACTGAAAAATTCAAGGATTTTCTGACCGGAGCAGAGCTGACCATCTACACAGACAACAACCCCCTGGCCCATCTACAAACGGCACACCTGGGAGCGGTAGAGCAACGCTGGGTGGCACGGCTTGCCTCCTTCAACTATTCGGTGAAATACCGTTCAGGTAAAAATAACACCAATGCGGACGCACTGTCCAGATTTCCTGCTCCTGTGAGGCAGGTCATGGGGCCATTGAAGGAGTCTGACACGGGACCAGTTACTGCAGCAGCCGTCGAGATAGTGCCTGAGGCTGGATGGAGAGAGGCTCAAGATGCTGACCCAGACATCCAGGTGATCAAGGAGTATGTTGCGAGGAAGGACTTCCCAAAACGGCCTGTCCGCTTGACACTCCCCCAACGAGCCCAAAAACTACTCCAACAATGGAAGAGGTTGGTGGTGAGAGGTGACCTATTGTACCGGACTGTCATTGATGGACTGACCCATGAGGAGCACAATCAGGTTGTGTGTCCGAGTTCTAGGTGTGAGGAGGTCTGGAGGAAGCTTCATGAGGCTGGGGCCCACTGCGGCGTCGATAAGACCCTCGCCCGGATCCGTCGGCAGTTCTACTGGCCCGGTATGGAGGGGGAGGTACGAGCGTTAATGAGAGATGTAATATGTGTTGCCTTCAAAGGGGCCGTGTTGAGCCAAAAGCTCCGCTCCACCCAATTGAGACTACTTATCCGCTCGAAGTTATTGGGTTAGACTATTTGACCTTAGGCCGACCCACCGACACATATCAAAATATCCTTGTTGCTACTGACAAATTCACTCGTTTTGCTTGGGCCATACCCACTATTGATCAATCCGCGCACACAACTGTAAAAATGCTTTGGAAGCACATAATACAGCCATTTGGCTGTCCAGCGCGTTTTCATTCAGATCGTGGCCCAAACTTTGAGTCTGCCCTCATGCAACAACTTTGTGATTTGTATGGAATAGCTAAAAGTCGTACCACGTCCTACCACCCTGCGGGCAATGGCGCCGTTGAGCGTTTCAATCAAACCTTGCTAAATATGCTCCGCTCCTTAGAAGAGGAAAAACAGCGCTGTTGGCAAAGTTTCGTACCAGAGTTGGTTCATGCATATAATAACACTGTGCATAGTGCCACGGGTTATGCCCCTTCGTTTCTGATGTTCGGTAGACATCTGCGACTTCCTGTAGACGTAGGCCTAGGTTTAAGTTCCCAGCAGCAGCCATACAATCTTACAGGGTGGGTACAAGACCACCATAATAAACTTTCTTCGGCCTATGTCCTAGCTCGGAAAAGAGCAGCTGATGCAGCCTCCCAACACAAAAGACAGTTTGACAAAAAAGCTAAAGCCTTGCCTCTGGTACCTGGGGAACGTGTGTGGTTACGCAATAGACGCCGGGAGGGGAGGGGTAAGCTAAGCCCATGGTGGGACCCTGACCCCCACGTGATTTTGGACAGTGTGGGGAACACTGGGGTTGTGTACAAAGTACGTCCTGAAAAAGGGGGCCGCGAACAGACTGTGCACAGGAATGCCCTAAAATTATGTACTGTCCCTCCGGCTGACCCAGAGCCACCTCCCAGAGAACTGTCCCCTCAAACGCCGGGGCCAGCTTTTCCTGTACTATACGGGTTTATGCCAAATGTACCTGAGGAGGAGTTCGATGCGCCTCAAGATCTGCCCCGTCGTTCAACCCGTGTGAACTTTGGACAACGACCGCCCCGTTATGAAGACTAGTTCCGTGTGTTGCAGGGACTGGCAAACACAAGGTGTGGGGGGGGTGTAATCGGGTCACAAGGGGATGGCGTGTGTGCTATTTTTGTTGGTTTGCTGTGTTTGTTTTCCCATGTTTTTGAGTTATGCCCCCTCGTTGGTTACTATGGTGACCCCCCCCCCCCGCCCATCTGTCTGCAACGCACCAATCCACCACCTATGCAATCAACACACCTGTTGTTCAGCGGGAAAGAGGACAACAAGAGGAGAGTCGACGCAGTTGAGACGGCAGGCAGAGGAGAGAGCACCGTGTGAGGAAGGACAACAGCGCGCACCCAGCCAGACAACACGGAATACACGTAGAGGCAGGGCAATCAGACCCTGCCTTGCCAGTGAGTACTGCTCTATCTATGTGTGTGGTGCATGGTGCATCAGAAGCTTTGGGCTGAAGTGTTTGGAGTATCGTGTGTGGCTGGCCTGTGTGTGCTGTGTGTCAGGGCTTGAGATCTGCGCTGGACGGAAGGAACAAGCGCGGTTTGGGGGAAAGCTGAGAGGCCAAATCGAGCAGTGGGAGAGCGAGGAGCTCTCCCTGTCAGTGAGTACCGCCAAACGCAGCACTCCGCTATACGGAGTGGCCTTGGGCCTTAGCGGTTGGGTGTAGTGGACTTGTGTGCTGGCCTTTGCCTTTTGCCCAGGTGCGCCATCCGTGGGGCAGTGCAGGACCCGGACGATCTTCCCCCCCATTACACCCATATCAGGAACTTCTGGCAGAAACATGTAACTCCACCCCATCCATCCATCCATTTTCTTCCCCTTAATCCATTTCTGGGTCAGGGGGGTGGCAGTCAGAGCTGCACCCAGTACTCTTAGCACCAGCCCCTCACTGGTCCTCCTGCAGGTGGTGAGTCCACAGGAGCTGAGATCTTTCAGTAGGGGCTTCAGGCAAAGTGGGGTTAAGTGTCTTGCCCAAGGACACAACGACAGCAGACATCAGTGGGAGTCGTGAAGTAGGTCTTACGGTGGGATCGAACCCATGACCTTCAGGCTCTAAGGCCAATGCTCTACCAACTGAGCTACTGTCGCCCTGTAACTCCACCCCCTTCTGTCTAAAAGCTCCAATCTCAGTCCTGTAATGGTATTTCTTTGGTCTCAGTCTTTAACACAGCCTCAGAGCACCGAGTATCAGAGCTGGGGGGAGGCAGCATCATGCTGTGGGGCTGCTTCCAAAGTACATATACAGTGCCTCTCAAAAGTACTAATACACCTTGAACTTTTGCACATTTCTGTCAGTTGTCAGATTTACAACCATAAACAAAGATTGTATTTGGGTTTTTTATGAAAGTTCACACACAAGTAACAGACAACCACTGTGAAGTGAAAGTAAAATAATAAATGATTCTGGTATTATTCTAACCCTAACCCTAAAAATGGGTGGCTTTTATGGGTGCATTAACCTTGCCCTATAATCTTCTGAGTGTTCTACTCTCAGTATAAACCCAGCTGCTCTGTGAGAGCCTCAGAGCTGTGGTCGGAGTGTGTAGGTCACTAAACAACATCATAAAGGCCAAGGAGTACTCCAGAGAGGTCAGGCATGGAGTGAACCACAATATTTAACACTCAGTGCTCCATATAACAAACGTCTCACATTTAACTTTCGGATACTACCTGAGAGCGGGAACAGCGACGTAAACACCGCAACCGGAAGCAGGAGAGTGAGGTCAGAGGACGAGTGAAAGAAGACGCGTCCCTTTTATTGGGTGATTGACGGGACGAACAACCAATAGAAAATGAGGAAGAGAGAAAGTGGCATAGAGCCCGCCTGCAGGCTGTAGTGCTACCATAGACTGTATATATTAATGATTCTGGTATTATTCTAAACCTGTAGCAAACCCCCCCCCCCCCGCATGTAGGAAGACACTTCACTGATGATTATCGAGTTTAATAGCTGTAAACTCTCAAATTCACCGTAAGAGCTGAGAACACAACAATAAGATAATCAACTCTTACATCCTTACAATAATAATACAACGTACATTTAACAAAAATACATTCGTAGTAAACGTACCTTGTTCCTCAAAAAGAAAAGGGGTTAGCCAAAAATAACGTTTTCATTTGCGCTCCGTAGGACTTTGTCGGAGCGCCTTTGTTGCCGTGGTAACCATGCATTGCCGTTGATGGCTTGCGCCTCGCGCTAACATGTTGCAAAAAAGGAAACTATCTTCAAAAAATAACATCCCTAAAACTAAAACCGTATTTTAACTATAGCTAAGATAAAACATTTTCAAAAACAGTTATTATTATGTTAT